ATTACTGCTCTCGCGGTGTATTTATTTTATCTATCGATGTGATTTTGAGGTGATTTTGTTTTTTATTTTATTATTATTATTTTTTTTGATACTATTGTACTTTGAAACGGCCTCTGGGCTATTCAATAAATTCTGATTGATTGATTACACTTGGTATTCTTTACTCTTCCAGTATTGGAGAATTCAGTTATTTTTTTCAGTTGTTGAATTACATAATGCAACAGCTAGATGAACTACTTATCCATCTTCAAAAGTGTTGTTTGGGGCTCTAAATAGTTCTTTGACTAATTTTCTCTTATTTAAATCTATGATTGATTTGCACAGTTTAATGCAAGTTTTAGATCTATTTTTTCTAACCCTTGAACCAACTACATTTTTTATACTAACAGGAAATCTGTTTAAAATAATTTTCTAAAAAGAAGAGAGAAAAACAGTTTTATTAGATATCAATACTGCATATATTGGATAGTGTAACATTTATTTTAATTCAAGTCGCCGAATGGGTTGGCAGATTTGCCATTAAAAATTAATTAACATTTTAATTGATCTAGAAGACAGTTTTGCAAAGCAAAGCAACTTCATTTATATACCTCTTCATACCACGCTATGGAGTGTCTAAGCAGTTTACAACTGTACGCTCATTGCCCCCAACAGCTGGGTACTCATTTTAGCGACCTTGGAAGGATGCAGACCTGAGTCAAGCCTGAGCCCTGGCTAGTACTGAACTCGCACCCTTGTGGTTTTTGAGTGAGTGGCTGCAGTACAGGCATTTAACCGCTGCGCCACCACGACTCCTCCACTGCGCCACCAGGGCTCCTTTTTGGTTCTAGTTTTTAAAAATTATCCACTTTCCTCCACTACTACTATCTTTTAAGATTGTCCTTTCAATTTACTGTATATACTCGACTATAAGTCAACCTTATGTATAAGTCAAGGTCAACTTTTGGGGCCAAAAGTATGGATTTTGGTATAACCGGTGGATAAGTCGAGGGTCAGACTTCCCAAGGCAGCCCGGCTGCAGTAAGGCTTCTGGGTGAGCGATCACCTTGCCCACCGTCTCCCCAGCTAGGCCTCCTCCCTGAGAGAAATTCAAAGCAGGGAGAAGCTTCTGTGCAAATGATTGCCCTGCCCAGTGTCTCCCCAGCTGGGCCTCCTCCCCAGGAGAAAGTCCAGCCAGGGAGATGCTTCTGGGTGAGCGATCGCCCTGCCTGATGTATCCCCAGCTGGGCTTCTTCCCCAGGAAGGAGTCCAGCCAGGGAGAGGCTTTGGGGAGATCAGCCGCCATTCCTAGACTCTCTTCAGCTGAGTTGTCCCTTGCAGAGGCACCCTGGCTGGGGAGAGGCTTGGGTCAATTACTGTACTGACCCATGTATAAGTTGACTCAGATTTTTTTGGGGGGGTGTCATTTTTTTGACCTAAATTTCTCAACTTATACATGAGTTTATATAGTTCTTCAGAATGTTGCAATAACAATATGGTTATAATTTTAATTATGTTGTAAATTTGTCAGAGAATCTTTAGGTTTGAAGTGTTAAAACCCACTTTGTGATATAGTAGCAGAATTTACAATTTTAAGCTGTCTAGTGTTTGTGTATTTGTATGTAAAGTAGGAAGGAAAGAGGGAAGACAGAGATAACACTTTTAGAACAGTTAAGATGTGAATCAATTAAGTCCAAAAATAGAACTGAGAAATTAAACCAATGTACCTTGTCATCACAGTACTATTTGACACATATTTTTGCTCTGAAATTAATTGTGGATAGATGCATTAGAAATACTTTTGATATGTACTATCTATATGAAGAGGAATATCCTACTCATCTCATGTTCTTAGCTGCCACTAACATTTCAATGGATATGAACATAATTATGTGTTTCACATGCAAAGTCTTGATTGTCTACAGAAATACCTTGAGAATAACAAACTATACAATGTAACAACATAAATGGAAATTACTGCCAATTCAGGATACACACTGAGCAAGCTATAGAGTTAATTAATTTATCTTTCGTGATCAGCACTGAAATGCAATCCAGTGACCATGCACATGCTGCCTACTCAGTTCAGTTCTGCCGAAATAATTCTAGCACTAAAACTAAGAATTTATTTCAATGACTTAGAATACACCTGGAATACTGTGTCCAGTTCTGGGCACAACAATTCAAAAAGGATATGGAGAAACTGGAGCGTGTCCAAAGGAGGGCAACTAAAATGGTGAAGGGTCTGGAAACCAAGCCCTATGAGGAACGACTTAGGGAGCTGGGGATGTTTAGCCTGGAGAAGAGAAGGTTAAAAGGTGATATGATAGCCTTGTTTAAATATTTAAAGGATGTCATATTGAGGAGGGAACAAGCTTGTTTTCTGCTGCTCTAGAGACCAGGA